TAAAGCCAATACAAAATGAATACCAAGATCATACCTCTGTGTACAGTGGAAGCAAACTGCAAAATGAAGCAGAAGGTGTACTTGCATGACTTAAGTCACATTAACATGATCAATAAGCGTTACCTGAGAACTTTCAAGGAACAAATAAATTTGGCAGAAAAAATATGTTCATCAGTGGTACCAAACTCTCAGGATCAATATATGCCAAAAGGAATTCTCAAACCTGTATCTTATTGTATTTGTGTAATCTATACAGAATAGGCCCAATTCATACCTGGTGTAACTCCAGTGACTTCAATAAATGTTTTGGCTCTGCAGTGTTCTGGTTCTGAGAAAACTGGTGAAATCTCAAGTATGTATTAGGCTAGCAGTTGTAGGCCATTTTTACTTATGATCTGCTATTTTGCCTTTGCTGAAAAACACAAGGATGAGTATATATTCTCCCTCTGACCCACTCACCACATTCATTTTACATAACAAGATAGATAAATAGTAATTCACTAAACATCTGACAATAAAATGGGCAGTTTTGATTCCTTTCGTACAGAAGAAATAACAGGATTCTGCCAAGCATAGACATCGCAAGAGCTGAGTTGCCACGAATGTCTTCGTAACAGGGAGCCCAACAGTTTCTGTGGGGCCCCAGGCAAGGTGTGGGGGGCGGTTTGGAGGGGGGGGGAAGAGACACGCTGTGTCCCAAGAAGGGGCAAGGTCTTAGGTGGAAAGGGCAGGGCCAGGGCAGCCAGCCCTTTCCACTGCCCAGACCACGGTATCGGGCCCCCTCCAGGCCTCAGAGCCATGAAGAGAGTGCAGAGTGGTGCTCTGATGGCCATTTAAAGGGCCTGGGATTCCAGCCACTGCTTCAGCAGCAATGGCAGTGGCTGGGAACGCCAGGCCCCAAGAAATTATACACAAAAACTATGGTGAAGGAACATGGCTCATCATACGATCACAAGCTACTTTTCCATAAGCCCACTCCCTCAATCAGTGCACAGACCTCAATGGGCATGAATCAGGGTTGCGTAGTGAAGGAGGCTGTTGTCTATAAGGTTATGTCTAGGCTACATCCCTCTTTCGAAAGAGGGATGTAAATTAGGCAGATCGAAAGTGCAATTGAAGCACGTATTTAAATATCCCGTGCTTCATTTGCATATTTGCAACCAATCGCTCTTTTGAATAAGAGTTTTTTCCAGGAGTATGGGATCTTTTGAAAAAGGGTTTTTTTCCCCAAAAAGAACTGCATCTAGACTGTGGTTTCACTTTCGAAATACCCTTTTTCAAAAGCACAATGGGACGAGAATATGCAAATGAAGCACAGGATATTTAAAACTGTGTTCATTTGCACTTTCGATCTGCCTAATTTACATCCTTCTTTTGAAAGAGGGACGTAGCATAGATGAGCACTAAGACTGGTTTTATTTGTTGCCAACCTTGGGAAGCGTGTAGAGAATGAGGCAGCGGACTACCAGAACAGAAAACCTGGTCTCATCATTAAGGCAGCTGAATGCTGCCTGAAGGAACTGGATCATACCCCATACAGGGTTCCTGTATGCTGCTGAGCAAGTCACTGATGGTATGTCAACACTGCCGAAGGGAGGAGTGATTCCCAGTGTGGGCCGACAGACTTACACTAGCTCAGCTTGAATTACCATGCTAAAACTGTGGACTTTGCAGCATAGGTGGCAGGTTGGGCCAGTTCTGGAGCCCAACTCACCCAATGCTCTCAATCCAAGACTGGGCAAACAGCTCGAGCTGCTGCCAATGCCACAAAGAGCCACCCTGCAACTTTTCAGGTGCTAACTCAAGCTGAGCTAGTGCAAGCATGAGAATCATAGCTCCCGGCAGCAACTTCGACATGCCCTTAACCAAACTTTTAAAACTCGTGCGCTCCTCATTTTCTGGGTGCACAACTTGAGACCCTGGAATCTGATCTGAAGAAGTGCCAAGCATTAAGAATGCAACTGACGTCAATGGGAGCTGGGTTTTGAATATATAACGTGCTGTATAAGGCTAAGTACTCTTAAAAAAATGAGTTCTTGTCATCTTAGAATGGGAACCTACAATTAGTGAATTCTTTTGATTCTACTCTCTGTACCTTAGTTTTCTATCTGTAAAATGGGGGCAATATCACCCCCACATCTCACAAGGATCTTATGAAGATAAATTCATTAATGTTAGTGAAACATTCCGATACTATAGTGAGGAGCACCATAGAAAAGCCCATGAGGAAATTATTATTATTGTCTTCAGAGTAAGCTATGAATAGCATACATTAAATAAGGTCTAAAGCCACACACTGAACATTGAGGAGGAAAAAATAATTAATATTGATCCCAGGCCATCCTTTGAACTGAATGAGGCAGAGGTCTTGTGAAAAAAATAGTTTGTGATCATGTAATTACAGACTGTCTCGTAATGATGCTCACAAGGGGGCTGTAATGAAGTTGAACACGAAATCTTAAGTCAAGCATTTTCCAGCTCTGGAGTGCTTGACCTTGAAACTCTACTAATATTGGTTTAATGTTCTTTTAAAATAGCTGTGTTTTGGGTTGTGTAATGAAAATGACCGAAGAAGCTATGTACCTAGAAAACAGGACAGGCACCAAGGTGCCCAGTTTTTATTCTTAGCTTTGCCACTGCCTTCCTATTTTGCTTTTAGGCAAGCCATGTAATCTCTTTGTGTCTCATGATTTTACCCATCTTTCATATTCATTATTCATATTTCATATTGGACTGAGAGGTCAATTACTATTTTTTAAAAGCTCCTTGAGCTTTAATATTTTTTTAAAAGCTCTAAAAAGTGACCAAGCAATGAATATTGGAGCAGAAAGATTTGGCGCCTAATAGATCCCAAATCAAAAGTCTTTGAAGTCAAGGGAAATGGCTTTTTATTAGGCACATATACACTGGCCAGCACAAATAACAGAAAATATTTTTGCTTGCCTAGTAGACGTATAGAGGGAAAAAAAGCAAGAGAAATACAAAGCAGAACACATGAATCAGTTACAAAAATAAAAAAAGATAAAAGACACTGTTTATTTTTGTGTTTATCTTTGAGGAAAGGCAATCTGACACTGAAATTGAGTTTCCTTTGACTGCAGGCAAAAAGTCCAGTCCATGAAGTTTTCAGCACAGGTTTGCTTTTAACAAAACAAACAAAGCTTTCTAGCAAAATAATCAGGAATACCATTACTATTTAATGCTTTTAACTGTGAGCACTACAGAAATATCGATAAAATAAAAGAAATGAGAGTCTCATTTTGAGTTTTCAAAATAAACTGCATTTTACACACATTTAAATAAATGCATTAAAAAAGTTTGTATGGATAAATTCCAGGGACAAGGACAGAGTGATCTATGCTAAGTAGTATATGAACATAGTGTTGTTGATTATTTAATATCTGTGGAGAAAGATACATTTTTGAAATATGATTTATCCTTTCATTAGTTTGTTACACCTCATTAGTTTACATGCAACAGAATATCTGTTGAATATTATCCTCCACAGTGCAAGAAAAATGTCTGACTATTTCTTGAATTCTCTACTATTGCAACTTTGCAAAAATCAATGAGATTGTAATAATTTATTTTATAAAGATCAAGAATAATTTGCTAAGAGATAAACCTTCTAATAACTTATTAACTAAGAGACTGGCAGTACTTTTCAAAGAAGGCAAATATTCAGTTTGTACAAATGAGTATTAGCAGTTTATGCTGTTTTATAACTTTCCAAGGGAAGGGAGTTTAATCATATATGAAAGAATCCCATGCAAGTACTAGCACTGAATCATTAGGTTTCGCAAACCAAATATTCTGAGAGAGAGCCCAGCATGCTTCAGATTTACATTCAAAGGACTAGATTCTTTCAAAACAGTGGGAAAGCATCTAATGGTTTGATGTAAATGGTTTAACATCAGGCCCCCGATGTCTCAACTAGAGAATAAAATTTGTCACCAAAAACGTGCTTGCATATTTTGCATTAAATACCAATAGAAATAAGAGACATTACTAGATTTCCTCTGCTTCTTTCGTAACACATGTTGTGCCAAAATGTTTTCTACCCAACATCTACTCAATCTCAGCATTGTCAGCAGCTGAAAATGTATGGACATAGTGCCATGCTAAAGAATATAAAATGAATAAACAGATGACTGTTTACACTCAGAGTGATTCCACTTAATAAAATGGATTAACCCAACTTGATTTTCAAGCTCTTAGTCTAGCAAACAATCTTACAAGATATAATTATCACTGGATGACATAACTCTATACAAAAAAAGGATAATATACTCTGGACTGCTTGGCTGGTTTGAAAGCTTATCTTTTCTAACGTAAACTTCTTCTTCCCAACCCCATGTCTCAGTACAATTAAATCTAGCAAACTTCACTAAGACCTTTAACTCTTTGATGCGTGCTTGCCTTGTTAATACTGTAAAAAGCTACATTAAAGTTCCCACATAATTTTCCAAAATGTAGCTGTAGAATAACTTTACAATCCCTATACAGTAAGTATATACTCCTATGCAGTAAGAATACTGTGCATACTAAAACCCAACAAATTGCCACGAGAAAATGAAATGCATTTTTAGGTAGATTTGCATAATGGAGACATTTAAATAAACAACCACAGGAAAATAGAAGGCACTTTGAAAGCCTTATATTGTTGCTGGGAAGGTATTTGCTGCACCTTTCTTCTGCATCTTACTATGCCGACAATATTGTATACACAGATCTGAGACTGTGTTCACTAGAATACAATCAGCGGTCAGGTTACTAATGACAGCTGCTAGAAACATGACCTATTACAGTTAGAGCTGAAAACAGCAATAAAGGTTGTATATGGTTATTCAGAAACCATAGACACTATTCACATATATTGTTAAAATAGGCAAATTTGATGTACACGTCTAACTGAACTGATTGTATACATTATCATTACATATATAGTTTTAATTTCACCAGTGTATAGCAAGAAATTTGTGTATTTTAAGGGTCCTTACCTTGCCTTCTGCACCTCCAGCTGACCTGTCCATCTCCTCCTCCTGTGCTTTCTGCTTTCCACAAGAAGGACAAAGCAAAAGAGTAATAAAATGAGTTTAGCAAAATAAGGCATTTTGTGGGAAATCGGGCTGAGACACGCTACACTCCAATAACCTCCTACAGCACAAATCCACCCTCGTTTAAACATTGAATCAGCTAGAATTCCAGGGTCCTGTGTTTGTCAGAGTGATCACGGTTAAAAATACTGCTTTTCTGATTCAATATTTTAGCCTAGCTTTGGAGGGCTTCTCACTCAAAGCTCATCCTTCATCACTGCATAGTGATTGGCCATTACCCAAGAAGTTTCTCCTCATAAACAGCATTTCCACACGGTCCTAAAGGAGATATTTGCCAAAAGTCATTATATAAAAAGACTGCAATTCCGCATGCCAGCTTTTTGCTCAAGCCACTAATCTCAGAACTGTACTGTCCTTCTGTCAGACTGTATAAAAGCACGCCATCTCTTTTCATTAGAGATCCCAGATTTTGTAATCACTATACTACGCATTTTTAACAAGGTGGTGCCAGTGTATTGTGTGTTTAAGATCTGTACACAATGCATCAAGGTACCTATTTTAGTATAGTTTTATGAAATTTGATTTTTTTTGATCAGTTACCAATTAGTCAACTGTGTAATATAATTAGCACCAGCATGCTGTTTGTGTGATATTAACATTTTTAAAGCCCTTTCTTCTCCCCTGCAAAACTCGTTTCCCCCATAGATTAATAGCATTGAAGTGGTTATTTGTTCTGAATATTAGGATTTCTTTAATAATGAAAAAAAAATTAAATAAATTATATATCACGATCTGATTTTAGGACCCTCAGTTATTAAACCTTCTATGCGTCCAATCCCAAAAATAAGTATGCATGCAAGAAACTTGCCTTTGTGAGTAGTCACTATTGATAAGAGATATGGGCTGTAGGACTGAGACCTTAATCTGTTAAAAAGCTTCAAGATTAGCATGAAATGACATTACAGCAGCTGCTTTTTATCATAAGAAAGAGGATGTTTTCAGGTGTCATTCTGAAGTTTGTTTATTTACTAAACAGTAAAAATGGGGGGAATTTGAAATGGCAGCTTCCCTTGACAAATGGAGAGGAAATGATCACAGATCTAAAAATTAATTGTGATTTAGGCACAAGTGATAAGGCATTTGATAACATTTATAATGTGCCAATAGAATGAAGTCCAGATGAGAGGGGGCAGTTTCACAAAGAGGGAAATTGGAGGTGACTGTTGAAGGCAGATCCAGAGGGCCCCTGGACATATGATAACTCCCACCCAGAGAAGTACCAGGACAACCCCTCCTGCCCCACCTCGTCCCCATCCCTACTCTGACTCCATCAGCCTCTTCTCTCTGCTGAGATCTGTGAGACTAGCAAGGCTGTGGGTCCAGCAACAGAGCAGGGTGGACCCCTGCTGCTGTGTCCCACTGGGGAGCGCAGGGAGGTCTCACTCCCTCCCCTGGAATGGAATGGTGCGGCTGGGAAAGCAAAGCAGCTGGGACAGCCATGCTCCATTTCCCCCACTACTGCTAGTGAGTGTGGGGGCAGGAATGACTTCTGCTGTCGGTGCTGGCCCTCCAGCCCTGCTAGTCCCCCAGCTGGCTGCTGTCCAGCCTCTCCTACCCATGGAAAGGGGGGGCATGTGGTCCCCCTACATATCATCCTGAAGGAAACAATTATGAGTCAAATCAGCTTGGAGAAAGAATGTAATCAAAATATATAAGTAACTAGGACTCGTTAAATAAGTTGTTGAATTAATTTGATAATTAGCATGATAATTTATTTCTTTCATCATTTATTAATTTACTTACGTATTTAATTATTTAATAAATGATTAGATTACCACAAAGTTACATTCTAACAACTGAGGAAGCAGCCCTATAGATTTAAAAACAGTATCAACCTGGATTAGTGGGCAATTGAAGGCAACCATAAACAGAATATGTATGTAACCAAAGAAAGAAGAAATTGACAGTAATAAATTTAAATCAGAAACCAGGAATTATAGAAAATTGATAAGGGAAGCAAAGGGACAAGGAGAAATGTATAGCTAGTAGAGTTAAAAATGAGAGGGTTTTAAATTTATGTTTTAAGTATATTAGAAACAAAATTAATTACACTGGACCATTTCTATATGAAAATGTGGAACTGTCAATAATAATGCAGAAAAGGTAAAAGTGTTCAATAAATATTTGTGTCCTGTATTTGGGATAAAAAAATGATGTAGTCCTGTGTTATGTTAGCACACTTTCCATTTCATTATAGAATCATAGAACACTAGAACTGGAAGGGACCTCGAGAGATCATTGAGTCCAGTCCCCTGCCCTCATGGCAGCAACTATTAAGGTTAAATATTTTAAAATTAGGAGTTCCAGATAACTAGCAAATAAATGTTTTAAAAGATCTAGCAGTGGAGCAAGAAAGTCTTGGGCAAAATGATGGAACAGTTGATTCAGGACTCAATTAATAAAGGAGGGTAATAAGTATGCCAGTAAATATTTATTTATGGAAAGTAAATTCTGTCTATATTTTATGAGATTACAAATGTGATTGATAAGGTAATATGTTAACGTAATACACCTACACTTCTGTAAGTTGTTTGACTTGGTACCACATGATATTTTGATTTAAAAACTAGAATGATAAAAAATTAGCATGGCACACATGAAATAGAGTCCTGTCAGCTAGATTTTAAACTAAAATAATTGTAAAGAGGAAATTAATATTGAACAGGTACGTTTCTACTATCTTCAGAGATTGGATTTTTTCATACATTATGCAATATTTGTATTAATGGCCTAACAGAAAACATAAAAAGATCACTAATAGAGTTTGCAGGTGACAGAAAAAAATGGGGAAGTGGTACATTTTGAACAGGACAGGTCATTAGTACTGAGTGATCTGGATTGCTTGGTAAACTAAGCTCAAGCAAACCATACATACTTTAATCTGGCTAAATATATACCTCTAGGAACAAAGAATGCAGGCTATACTTACACAATGGGTTCACAAAGAGCTGGTTAACTTTGAACCCATTAAAAGCTGGCCTGCATCTACAACAAAGAAGCAGGTCAAATCCTTACTTTGTAAAGGTGTTCAGTCATATTGTTGCTCCCATAACACAAGGATAGCTTAACAAAGTAGTTTGAATGGAAGCCTATGAAGAGCACTTCCATAGCATTAAAGAAGTGGGTGCACCCGACCAAATACCTTTGAGGCTCAGATCTTATATTTAAAAACTGTGTCAGGTTAGCCTCTCTAAGCCTATGTAACAATTCACATGTGGTTTAGATCTTGCCAAGAGCAGCTGAAAATGGCCAGCTAAGTCATCCACGTAAGCCCTTGTGAAAGATTCCAGTCCCTGTAAGACATCATTTATAAGCATCATGAATAGGGCTCCGCAGTCTGAACAGTGAGACTGTGAACTTACATATACCAGCCTCCACTATGAAAGTGGATTTTTCTTGGGCATCAGCATCTAAAGGAATTTGCTTGTACTCCCGCAGAGCCTCTATTTTGGGTGTGGCAGAAAAGTCAGATTGAGCAATATTATTCAGCTTCCTGTAATCCATGCTAAACCTCATTATTTTGTCCTTTTAGGGTACCATTAAAATAAAAGATGCTCAGGGGCTTTGGGACCAAACAACTATGCCAATTAGTAATGCTTTCTGCCTCTTACTAAATCTGCTATAGCATTTCTCCCTTGGCCCAACATGCCCTACTAGGAACGGGGCAGAGGTCTGCAGTTTGAACATAGCATGTTATCTTATGAGTTAACCCTGGCCAATTTGAGAATGTTAAAGCATCATACAGGCAAAGATACAGTTCCTTTAGACTACAGTTAAACCTTCCCCCAACTCAATTTTTTCAAACTATATCTCCTCTGTTTTCTGTAACCATTTCAAAGTTATGGTTTCAAACCATTTCAAAGAGACAAAGTTTCTTCATCAGAACAGCAAATCATATTCACAACTAATTCCTTTTCATAATAAGCCTTCAATCTCTTGACATGTGCTGTTTGCACAGCTACTTTGCTATGGGATTTTCTCACACTATAGATAACCTCACTAACTCTTTCCACTACCTCATAGGGTCATTTCCAAATCTCTCACATTTTATTCTCTCTGATAGGATCTGGCACATGCACCGTATCTACCATTTCCAATGCTTTCTCATCAGTGTGCCTACCATACCAAGCCTTCTGAATCTTTTTTTCTTAAGATTCTTTTCTGAACCAAATCCATCATGCCTTGCAAGCTTCCTTTAAATGGAGACTCACCAAACTAAGTGACTGGGCAACAAAATGGCATATGAAATTTAATGTGGATAAATGTAAAGTAATGCACACTGGAAAAAATAACCCCAACTATACATATAATATGATGAGGAGCTGATTTAGCTACAACTGATCAGGAAAGAGATCTTGGAGTCATCGTGGATAGTTCTCTGAAGACGTCCACACAGTGTGCAGCGGCAGTCAAAAAAGCAAACAGGATGTTAGGAACCATTAAAAAAGGGATAGAGAATAAGACGGAGAATATCTTACTGCCCTTATATAAATCCATGGTAAGCCCACATCTTGAATACTGCTTACAGATGTGGTCGTCTCATCTCAAAAAAGATATGCGGGCATTAGAAAAGGTTCAGAGAAGGGCAACTAAAATGATTAGGGGTTTGGAACAGGTCCCATATGAAGAGAGGCTAAAGAGATTGCGACTTTTCAGCTTAGAAAAGAGGAGACTGAGGGGGGATATGATAGAGGTCTATAAAATCATGAGTGGTGTGGAGAGGGTGCATAAAGAAAAGTTCTTCATTAGTTCCCATAATAGAAGGACTAGAGGACACCAAATGAAATGAATGGACATCAGGTTTAAAACTAATAAAAGAAAGTTCTTCTTCACACAAAGTTCTTCTTATAGTCAACCTGTGGAACTCCTTGCCACAGGAGGCTTTGAAGCCTAGAACTATAACAGAGTTTAAAGAGAAGTTAGATAAATTCATGGAGGTTGGGTCCGTGGAGTGCTATTAGCCAGGGGGTAGGAATGGTGTCCCTGGCCTCTGTTTGTGGAAGGCTGAAGATGGATGGCACGAGACAAATCGCTTGGTCATTGTCTTCGGTCCATCCCCTCTGGGGTACCTGGTGTTGGCCGCTGTCGGCAGACAGGCTACTGGACTAGATGGACCTTTGGTCTGACCCAGTACGGCCATTCTTATG